ATATTATGATAGCTGTATAGGCAATTGCTCCAAAAGGCACCCAGGTCCACTTTAATTGTTTTAGACGTGTGGACACCTGGCAGAAGCATTATGGTTTTAAAAATACTTTCTCACTGAATAAGCTACAGGTGAGATAAACGTGATCTGGTTTAAATACATAATTAAAATCAGTAAACTGTCTCTGATGTTTGTCCCATCAGTGTATGAATGTGATTTAAAGCACTGATTAGTCTCCATAGAATGATTTGTACATGTTAGCTTTGTAAAAACATAATAAAGTGCTGAATGAATGTGTGTGTTTGTGTGTGAATGGGCAATTGAGGACACAAATTGCATTGTAAAGCACTTTGAGTATTCTGGTTGGATAGAAATGTGCTATATACTGTAAGTACAGTCCATTTACCATTCACTGTTACTGTTGGGTGTTTTCATTATTTCTATTGAATTGTATTTGAAAGATTGAGAATAGCATACTACTGGAATGTTTTAACTTGCTGTCACTGTGCCTCTGCTCAGGATMAACAGATGAAAATTACCTTGTAGTTATTTCTGGTCTATGCAATAAATGTATTGTGCAATGTCCCTGTTAAATAAATAATTACACTGTTGAAAAAAATATGTTGAAATTTCCATGTGGAATGCAAAATTGTGCTCATTTCCAAGGGATTCACAAATAAGATGTAAACTAACAGCCACTATCATTGATTTTTTTTCCCCCGTGTTTTATTTTGCTTCTTATTTTTATCATAAAATAGTTTTAAAAATTCATAAATTTAATGTTTGTACTAGAGTTGTGATGTCTGCTAAAACAGGATTTAACAGATGTTTTTAATGTTCCACTGCCCTCTGCTGCTGAACAGTAATATGACATTATAAACCCAGTCCTGTTCAGTCTTTTTTACCAACTCAATGGGCCTCATGCAAGAACCATTGATTCGAACAGATTTGTTCTTAAGTTGTGCGTACGAGTAATTTAGGAGAACTTGTGGCATTCACCAATGTTCTCCTATTATAAGTTTTTTTTCAGATGCAAACAAAATCCACATGTGGTCCAGACCTGTCGTATATTTTACGAGCAGTCAGTCTGCTGTTATCC